TTCACACAAGCTGTCTATTAAAGGCCAGGGAGATAACTCAGTTGGTAAAGTGCTTTCTGTGTGAATATGATGACCTAAGTTCAATTCCCAGAAACCACCTGGAAAAACTGGTTAGATGGTGGCATCTGCTTATATCCCTGTAGTAAAGAATCAGAGACAAATGAGCATCCTTGAAGTTCACTGGCCAGTCAGAGTAGCCTACTTGGTTATCTCCAAACCAGTGAGAGACCCTGTCTTATAAAACAAGGTGGGTGGAACATGAGGAATGCCATCCAGTGTTGACTTTCTGGCCTTCACACGCATACGTTTGTACAAGTACACACATATCCACATATAGCATGTATACCCAATAACAGGTAGACACCTGTGTTTGGCAGTTGGGAAGCATTACAAAGGAGTTCCTGACGACCACACATTAATGTCAGAGTAGATTAAACAAGGCATTTACTGTGTCACCATCCTGGAGGCCAAAGCTGTGAGTGAATAAGGGAATCCCAGTACCATTGTCAGCAGTTCTGCAGCCTCTGGGTCTCTAGGTTCTAGAGCAGAGTCGAGGCCTGGGCTGATGGTCTGCAGAACCTGGGAAGGGGTCTCCCTCGCTCAGGAGGAAGTGCCTGGCCAGCCAGAGGTCCAGAAAGTAGACAGGGCATGCTAGACTGAAGAGGGCTTCCCTTTCTATGACTCTCACTATGGTGCTGGAGGAGCATCTCCCACTGTCCAGACTACCTTTTGGGAATTCAGGCTCAAAAATGTCCAGAGAGAACGTCTACCTTAGTTGAAGCTTTTGCTTTTGTGAACTTGAAGAAAACAAGCCTCAAATAATTCTTCCATCTAACTCTCTTAGGCTTTCTGATGAAAACTGTGAACTAGATCAAGGAAAGAGAGATTAACAAGACAATATTGTGCACGAGAGTACAGGCACATCACGTTACACACAGGAGCACTCAAATGAGTAACTTAGAACTTGGCTTCACAAAGCATCTTAACCAGAGAACACGTAATTGACCAGGAAAGGCAGTCTGAGGTATGGGAAAGCAAATAAATTGACAAACTAATGTGGGTAAAGGCTGTTTGGCAATGCTTATCTACATAGATTCCTCTGGAGATGCCCTCCAGGGTATAAAGATATCCATGGTAGAGGAGAGGTGGGACATTTTTACAAACCCCATCCTGTGGCAAAATGAAGATTGCTTAGTGGGTAGAGGCACTTATGAACCTAGCCCTGCTTTTAGTGGTAAAGCATAGAGCTGTGCTTAGACCTGCTGCTTTTCCTTTGCCTTGAGCTCCAAATAACCCTCATGCTAAAGGGACACATTCTGCCATCCTTCAGTCTGTCCTTACCACTGTGACATGAGCAAGTAGCTTTGCTTCCTCCACCTCAAGAGTCTGGGCTAATCATCCTCTAACATGGTCTGCATACAGAGATGGGGGCCAAAGTGACAGGAGATACTGTAGATGTAACCAACGGTCTTATTAAATAAGAAACACAGAGCCAATTCAGAGAAGAAAGCCAAGAGGTCAGAGCTAAGAGCCTCACCCTTCCTGATTCAGGGATCCTCTCCAGCCAAGAGAGCTCTCCGAAAAGGACCTACTTCCTGTGTGTATGTCTTTAAAGTCTTCCTGTTCTGCCTTCTCATTGGTTGCAAACCCAAACATGTGACTGCCTCGTCACTGCCTGAATGTACCGCCCTCCAGGTCCTTAAAGGCATGCGCCACCGCCGCCACACACTTGCTATGGCTCTAATAGCTCTGACCCCAGACAACTTTATTTATTAACATACAATTAAAATCACATTTCAGTACAAGTAAAATACCACCACAAGATACCATGGTGTAACACGAATCGCTAAATGGTCTTATTAATAATAAAAAAAAACAAACAAATAAACCCAGGAGCCAGGTATTGGGGTGAATTCTGAAAGATCAGAGAAGCAGAACAAGCCACAACCAACCTGACCTCGCCAACTCCTCAGCTGATCTTGTTTCCTCAGACTGAAAGCCTCTGAGCCCTCACCTGAATGGATCTCAGCTCAACTGCTGCTAAAAGCCTAAAAGCTTAAAAGCCTCTAAGTCCTGTTTCTCACGCCTTATATACTTTTCTGCTTCCTGCCATCACTTCCTGGGATTAAAGACACATGTATTTCACAAGCAAGACATGAGATCTCAAATCCTGGGATTAAAGGTGTGTGCCACCATGTTCTGGCCTCTATGTCTATCTAGTGGGTGTTCTGTTCTCTGACCCTGGATAAGTTTATTAGGATGCACAATCTATTGGGGGACACAATATCACCACACCATGGACTGATTCTCCTGTCCAACAAGTAGGAAACTTCCATTCTAGTTCCTGCCAGAGTCTGTAACAACCAATGTCACAGGTGTCAGCAGTGGCATCACTTTGCCTACCTTTGTCATTGGCTGGACTGTGTTCCTGCTCTTTCTACCTGTTGCTTGTGGAACCCTGTCTGGCAGCTAGAGTAAGAAAAGGTGACATTTTGTCAGCATTGTTACATAGGTACCAGTTCTCAGTAGGGGGATCCTAGCAAATGGCACTCTTCACTCAGCATTCTTTTTGTTTGCTTGTTTTTGTTTTTGTTTTTGTTTTCAAAACAGAGTTTCTATGTTTAGCTTTGGAGCCTGTCTTGGAACTTGTTTTGTAGACCAGGCTGGCCTCAAATTCACAGACATCTACCTGCCTCTGCCTCCCAAGTGCTGGGATCAAAGGCGTGTGCTGCTACCGCCACTGCCACGGCCGCCGCCGCCGCCGCCACCACCAGGCTTCACTCAGCATTATTTAAGATAGAATCCCTAAGGTGCCTCTGGTCCCTTATCTTAAGAGGATAAAACTTGCATATCATTTACACATATTTTTCTTATAGTCCTTAAATCATCTCTATCTTTCTTGACATATACATTACAATGTTTGTGCTTGGCTGGGCGGTGGTGGCTCACGCCTTTAATCCCAGCACTTGGGAGGCAGAGCCAGGTGGATCTTTGTGAGTTCGAGGCCAGCCTGGGCTACCGAGTGAGTTCCAGGAAAGGCGCAAAGCTACACAGAGAGACCCTGTCTCGAAAAACTAAAAAAAAAAAAACAATGTTTGTGCTTGTGTATAGTTGTTAAACTATGTTGCTTAAGGAATGAAACAAGAAAAAGGGTCTGCATGTGTTTAGAACAAATGTAATTTTGCATTCAAATATTTTCTACTCATAAGTGTAGATGGCCTGCTGTTTTGCTGTATTTAAAAAGGTCCCCTAATTGGGTGGTGGTGGCACATGCCTTTAATCCCAGCACTTCAGAGGCAGAGGCAGGCAGATCTCTGAGTTCGAGGCCAGCCTGTTCTACAGAGTGAGTTCCAGGACAGCCAGGGCTACACAGAGAAACCCTGGTGACATATTTCCTCCATTAAGGCCACACTTCTTAAAGATTCCATAACCTTCCCAAATAGCGCCACCACCTGGGAACCAAGTCTCTAACTATATAAGCCTATTGGGCACATTTCTCATTTAAACCACCACAGGGGGACATTTGATTTTCAAACCAAGAGAGGGGTCTGTCTGTTGTGCTCTCAGCCCTGATATTCTACAACACAAAGGGAATCGGTACCATATGGTGTCTGTGTTGTTTCCCAAGGTTGTACCATTCTGCATAGCATTGGGCTAGTTCTCAACACTGGCCTGTGGATGCTTTTTCATACTTTCTTTTCCTATATTCCCTCCCACTCTCTGCAAGCCAGAAAGATTGGTGGGTAGGAGCTGAAATAAAGGACCATACCCACTGAGGGTCTCCTAAAAATAAGCTTATTTTCATTCTTTCTTGTGTTTTATCAGTATAATGTAAATTAAAAAGTACTGTAGTGCCGGGCGGTGGTGGCGCACGCCTTTAATCCCAGCACTCGGGAGGCAGAGCCAGGCGGATCTCTGTGAGTTCGAGGCCAGCCTGGTCTCCAAAGTGAGTTCCAGGAAAGGCGCAAAGCTACACAGAGAAACCCTGTCTCGAAAAACCAAAAAAAACAAAACAAAACAAAACAAAAAAAAGTACTGTAGTTCTCAAATGACTCCACCTTCCTTTTCTATTCTACACTTCTGCTAACACCTTGATTTTAGGCATCTGACCTACAAAAGAATGAATTTGTGTTTCTGCAAGTCACTAAATTTGTGGTAATTGTTAGAACAGCCATAAGAAGCTAAGACAATATTCCTTTAAAAGAAAAAAGACTATTCTTTATAAGCTCAATACTTTATTGTATGTCATCATATTTCCCTTGTTTATTTCCCTTTGGTCTCTGTGGGTTGTCAGTAAAGTTCCATTTGAAAACCCCAGTCAGTATCCTGCAAGCCAAGGCAAACACAGAAGCAGGAGCCTGCTTGACCCACTCTTGGCCAGAGAGAAGAAAGATCAGGGGTTTAGTGTGGTGTTGAGGGTGGGGCCTTGAGCCAAGACAACTGGTGTTACACCTGGTTCTGCAAACCACTGGCTCCATGGACTGAGGCAGGTTGCTAATGTTCCTTTTGTTTTATTTATTTATTTATTTTTGTTACTTCAAGGTTCATGTGCTGAATACTTGATCCCCAGTGTAAAGAATGGTATGGAGAAGGGGTGGACCTAGTGAATGGATATTAAATACCTAGGTACCATGCTTGGAAGGGACTAATGCCACTCTTTGGTGTGTGTTAGGAGCTGGGGAGATGGCCTGGCTTGTAAAATATTCAGGAAAAACATCCAAACACATAAAATAGTAATAATAATAATAATAATAATAATAATAATAATAATAATAATAATAATGCAAAGAAAACTAAATAAATAAAAGAGTGGATTAGGTCTCCCTGACTGGATTGGCTACCTCCAAAATAGCTGCTGCAAATAAGCTGAGCTTTCTCTGCTCATTATCATGCTTCACATCTTTTCATGTGATCTTTCTTCTTCATGTGCCTCTTTCTACCTATAATGCACTGCAGCCATTTTATGTGCTCTGTTATCAGGTGTTTTATGACATAGCACAATGACCTCACCATATGTGGTTGCTTTAGCTTGGACTTACCTCCAAAGCCGTAAGTCACAACAAACTTTTATTTATAGTTTACCCAGCTTTAGGCATTTCTGTTACATAAAACAAAACAGACCAAGACCATTCCCTAAAATCTAAATATTTTCATCTATGACATTTCATCCTTTACTCCAAAGTTAAGCTCTATGTCTTCCTCACTTACCGTTTGTGTGACTTTGGGCAAGTTTCTTAATCTCTCTGAGTCCGTGTCCTGGTCTGTTCAGCTGCTGTCACTACAGCAGCTGTCCCTTTTGATGGTTTGAGAAACTTCAAGCCTTGTGTGTGTGTGTGTGGGGGGGGGGGGGGGCAGGGACTCCCACCCCATATGGAAACAGCATTGGTGCCAGTGCAGGGCCTTTTAGCTCACCAAGAAAAGCTCCAAGTTTCCTTTGGGGGATACTCACATGGTCCTGAGCCCAAAGAATTCTTACTGTGATTCTAGGTGTGGAAGAGACTCAGAGAACCAGCCATGGCCTGGAGGTTAACACCTGCCTTCCAGAGAGAAACTTCTGTAAGTCAGGTTTGCTTCCTCTGGGGATGCACCATAGTGAGTGGTGCAGATGGATAGACCAGAAGTGACTGGCACCCCTTCACCTCTGAATCCCTTCATCTCTAGTCGCCTATGGGGAAGATATAAGGTATGCAGGGAGCCTGTTTCTTTTTCCTGATATGAAAAAGCCACCCACAGGGGACTTCTCAGGAGCAGCTAACTCCAGAAACCTTACTTCTTCATCCCTACCCCTACCTCCTTAGACTGGTTTAGGGTAGTGGCTTGGCCCAGAGGGACAGCCAAAGGAGCTGATCCTCAGCATCTCCCCTACTGTTCCTTCCTTAGTTCACTTGCACTCTTTCTCTCCTCATTGCTGGCTGTGCATCATCCCTCTGTCTCCCTTGTGCTCTCATCGTCTGTGTCTTTCTCTCCTGATAAACTTCTCTTCAGCAGCCCTGGGCCTTTTCTCTCTGAAAAGACATCCATCCCTCATGTGCCAAACCCCAGCCCTCAGTGATCCCCAGGAAGGCAGAGTTTGGGGACCCAGAGGTCAAGCCACAGAAATTGCTAATGAAGTGATATAGTGCTTCCAGTTTCCCCAACTCTGCCAACTCCTTCATTTGACTCTTTAGTGGATTTGCTTCTAACCCACCAAGTTAAACAACCACCAGGGCTATTTCTCCTCCTCCAGGGCCCCTTCTTTCTGGCCTATAGCATCTGATGGTGGAAAATCAGACTTTTTGGTCCCCCACCCCAAAAATTCATTCAGCCAACATTGGTTTGAGGGTCACTGTGTTTGGCAAATGCAGTGCTTGAATGTGTAACGGGGGCTGAAGTATCCAGAAACATAAAGATGATGTTCTTTCTTGTGTAAAGGAGACCCTTATCTGTAGCAATGTCCAGATTTCTGTAGTGCTGAGAGCAAAGAGGGAATGTCTCAGGCAAGATGCACTGCTGCACCCTGGCCACATTGTCCTGGCAGGCAGCATGGCTGTAGATTCAGCTGGAGGGCTTTGGATATGCTTCTGCACTGCCCCTGGCACAGAGCTACACCTGACTCACTGGGCCAGCACCCTAGGCATCTCTCAGCAGCTACCTGAGACCTTTCAAGTTCACTCCTTTGTGATTAAGTTTTGTGGCTATCCATGCCCTATGTTGACTGGAAGTAAGTTGGCACAAAAAAAATCAAGAAGCTCCAGCCACTGCCTTACCATCTAGCTTCTTAGTTTATAGTCATCCATGTCTGGCCCACCAGAGGGCGCACATATCAACAAAGAAAGGAAAGAAAAGAGGACTTGGTGGATTTTTAGGTAAGGTTTTTCTTGATGCAAAGGTATCAAGAATCTCTGGCCTGTGACAGAGAGTGATCATCTTTAACTTAGCTGAGCCACTAGTCCAGCTACAGAGTCCTTGGCAATAGCTGAGGACCCACTAACAGTTCCAAAACAAACCAGAGATTTGATTTTGGAAAGTGTACTCCAGACATTTTATTCATGGTGTGGCAGAGGGTAGCTCAGGTACACGGGGAGAGCATGAATAATTAATACAAAAGAGAGAGAGCCAAAGCAAGATACCAGTGCAACTCAGGTATGGACAGTGATTTAGGTAAAGACCAGTTTTAGAAATGGTTTAGAAGTTAAAATTTAAAGTCACTTCAGGAAGAGAGAAAGGAAAGGTCAGAGTAAGACTAGAGTCAGGGTCAGAGGGTAGGGTTATGTCAGCATAAGGGTTACGGTTATGGTTATGGTTTAGGGTTAGGGTTAGGGTTAGGGTTAGGGTTAAAGTTAGGGTTAAGGTTAGGGTTAAAGTTAGGGTTAGGGTTAGGGTTAGGGTTAGGGTTTAGGGTTAGGGTTAGGGTTAGGGTTAGATGGGTTAGGGTTAGATGGGTTAGGGTTAGGGTTAGAGGGCTTAGGGTTAGAGGGGTTAGGGTTAGGGTTAGAGGGGTTAGGGTTAGAGGGGTTAGGGTTAGAGTGGTTAGGGTTAGGGTTAGGGGTTAGGGTTAGAGTTAGGGTTAGTGGTTAGGGTTAGAGTTAGGGTTAAGGTTAGGGTTAATGGTTAGTGTTAGTGTTAGGGTTAGGGTTAGGGTTTGTGTTAGGGTTAGGGTTAGGGTCCTGAACTCTGAAAATCCCCTCACCCCTACCTCTCTATGTTAAAAAGTCTACCCCACTTGATCTCAAGGCTCTGTGCTCTCACTGCTACATCCAACAGACCGAGAGACCAAGCCTGGAGCTTGATATTAAAGGCTCTTTGCTTTTTCATGTGGGATTTGTTTTTCATTATGGTCTTTCGGGCGTCTCTGTGATATGGGCTAACCCCAGCACTCAGGAGGCAGAAACAGTTGGAAGTTTTGAGTTTGAGGCCAGCTGGGTCTACAGAATGAGTTCCAGGTCTGCATAGATAAACCCTGCTTCAAACACACACACACACACACACACACACACACACACACACACACTCAAATCAAAGAGTAAGATCCACTTTTAATCTGGATCAAACCTTCTCATGGTAGCCTACATATATGAAGGCTATTGAAAGAGGAAGTTCTCTCTCTTTTCCTGCTTGCCCTAGCTCTGGCTACCAAGTTCATCCGTTTACTAACAGTAGAGTCTGCTTCCTTGGAATTTTGGTGTATACTGAAGACCAGCTGAAATATCCAGCCTCATGAACTAAACAACTACTGGACTGTTCAAATTTCCATTGGTAGGCAGCCATTGTAAGACTACCTATACCACAGATTGTAAGATATTCAAATAAATTTACCTTCTATATACATGCAGAGATTCATTCTACCAGTCCTGTTCATGTAGAGGACCTTGAATAATGCAGCTGTTTTTTTTAGTTTTTTTTTTTTTTTTTTTTTTGGTTTTTCGAGAGAGGGTTTCGCTGTGTAGCTTTGTGCCTTTCCTGGAACTCACTCTCTAGCCCAGAGATCTGCCTGCCTCTGCCTCCAGAGTGCCTGGATTAAAGGCATGTGCCACCACCGTCCGACTGTGGTTTTTTTTTTTTTCCCCCTTTCCATCTTCCCACTGAGGAAAACGTGCTGGCTAAAAATGGTTCTCATAAAAACATTCTTCCTAGCTCAATTATGCTATAAGTATTCAACTTTCCATGAAGATTATTTTTTATTATTATTCATTTGCTAACAGTGTGCTCTGAATTTCAGGAATTAAACTCTTAAAACAATGGAGCCTTTGAGCGGACGCCAGAGTTGCAGACTAATTGTTCTAAAAAATGAAACAAAACAAAATAAACAAACCACCAGAAGATGTGCTGCCCCATTGCCTCTAGACCCACACAATTAGGAGCTGCGCACCAGACATTTTCTGCCATAACCTAAAGGATATGATATAACTTAACTGGCATAATAAACAAAGAAGCAGATATGTCCTGTGGGATACAATAACATAGATTGCTAGAAGATATGGCAATTTCCTTGCAGCTGCAGCTCTCCAATCAGTTCAAACCAAGCATCTCTAACTTGAAGTAGGCACCAATCCTGAGCTAGTAACTATATAGAATTGGAATTCCCCCAGATCCTCTATCCTAACCATTATAAAAACCCTGCTTGATGGCTACTCATGGTCTTTCCTGTTCTGCTGCTGTGTCAGATGGACAGAGACACCCAGGTTAACTCAAAACAATAAAAAAGACTCTTTGGTTTTCATCAGATTTGTTCTCTTGGTGATCTTTGGGGGTCTCTGGATGGTACAATAGCCACCATCCAGCTTTCTGATAGGAGAAAGACTTGTGATCAAGTTCCTGCTTTTCTTTCCTGGTTGTCTGAAGTCCCTGTGACAACCAGGTAAAAAGTACCTTCAGTTCACCTGACCTCAGTGTGAAATCACATAACAAACATATCCTTTTGTGCCCTTAAATCTCTTTGTAGTTGTTAATATTCTAGGTACCCTTCAACCTGTTTGATAAGGAATCACTCCATCCTATATAGTATAGTGGGTTGTACAAGCTATCTAGCCACATTGTGTCCAGGAGGAGAAAAGGAAGTGCCTCTGGAGAGCAGGAAGATAGCAGGGCTGCTTTAGTAGCCAGGGGCAAGGGCTATTGAAATGCTTATCTCTGTTAACCTAGAAAAGGTCTTTGTCTGGGGTGGAAGGCAGGGTCAGGAACCATTGTGTGTGTGTGTGTGTGTGTGTGTGTGTGTGTGTGTGTGTGTGTGTGTGTGTGTCTTTAAGCACAGTGTAACCCTATGGGAAGTGCTCTTAGGCAGGGTCAGGAACCATTGTGTGTGTGTGTGTGTGTGTGTGTGTGTGTGTGTGTGTGTGTGTGTGTGTCTTTAAGCACAGTGTAACCCTATGGGAAGTGCTCTTGTCACTCAGACCTCACTAGCCAATCAGGCACTCCAGGCGACCTGCCAGTCAGAAGTTGTGCAGGGTCCTTCCGGCTGCCGGCTTCAGAAGCCTTCCGGCTGCCGGCTTCAGAAGCCGGCGCCAGCGGTTTTGTGTACGGTGCTGGGACAGCTGCTGCAGGGAGCTTTGCAGAGAGCATGGGCGAGCTGGAAAACCACGGCATGGTGAGCAGGGGCTGCTATCTCCAGACTGGGAGGAGCTGCTAGTTGAGCCATGGGAGCCAGTGTGGTGGGAACCTCCCTGAATGGGTGGGAATCAGTGGCCAGGTGCAGAGTTTCGCATGTTCCTGCCTACTCCTGCATGGTCCAGTGTGGTTCTGCATGGTTCTGCGTGGTCTTTGCAATTCCCAGGGCCAGCTGGCAGCATCTGAGTAACTTCACTCTACTGGCTGCATCTGTGCAGAGCATTGGGAGTGAGACTGTGCTTTGAAATATCCTTGTTGACATCACTGTGAAAAGGCAGCACCCTTAGCGCTTGCGTTGTGGCTATGGCACACAGATTGGCCAAACTGAGAGAGCCCTGGTTCCTCTAGTATCTTCCAGAAGTTCTGCACTTTGAACATTTAACATTTTGATTTAGAATCCATCTAGCGTTAATTCTGTGGAAGTTGTAGATAGTATTTCCTGTGTAGAGTAGCACTCCGCTGCTAAACTGTGATGTAGAAAAAGCAGAATTGATGGTATAAGGAGTTCTTATACCAGTTCTTAGGAGACATTAAGTCACAAAGTAGAATTTAGGTAAGGAAGGGCTGCATCACAAATACCCCAAAGGTAAGTAGTATGCTAACTATGCCTGTTAGAGATGAGTATGATAAGATGTAAATGTTTGTTCCCCAGTGTAGATTAACCAGCTACACTCCCATTACAAAGGAAGTAACCCAGCTGGGCGGTGGTGGCACACGCCTTTAATCCCAGCACTTGGGAGGCAGAGCCAGGCGGATCTCCGTGAGTTTGAGGCCAGCCTGGGCTACAGAGTGAGTTCCAGGAAAGGCGCAAAGGTACACAGAGAAACCCTTTCTCAAAAAAAAAAAAAAAAAAAAAACCCAAAAAAACAAAAAACAAACCAAAAAAGAAAGAAAAGGAGGTAACCCTGATTTACAACCAGCAGAAAGGCCCATTCCTCCATTAAAAAACTGGCATCTAAATGCTGCTCAAGGGACCATTACAGGGTCAAAACCAACATTAAGTCCTGGTGTGCCATAAAGGTATATTAGTTCCAGAACAACAGCATCTCCAGTCTTTTTGAAAAGCAGTTTTGAGTCAAGGTCTTCTATGTTGACTGAGGTGAACTTGAACCCTGTCTGTAGCCCCAAAGGGCATTGCCCTTGTTATCCTCCTGACTAACCACCCTAAATCTTGGATTACATGTCTACAGCACCAGAGAGTTCTAAATTTGCCAGTTTGAGTCATATAGTGGACTGTCCATTTGCAGAATAGGGAAAGGATTTGTGTGTGGAGCATGGCTTCTCCCTTCAGACCAGAAGAGGAGGAACAGTGTACTGTGTACACTGCAGGGGGAAACAGACTAGACAAAAGCTAGATCACAGACTGAAGCTGAAGACATTGAGCTGCAGAGGTCTCCATTACAAAGAACTGATGGGGCATGGTGAGTGACTTTCTGTGTATTTTCCCTGCATGTATTAATTCCTTCTATGTGAATGAAGACAGACAGAATTGGTGAGTGTACAATCTAGGGAGAATAGCTTTAACTAATAAGCATTCAGTTTCCAATTAGCAAACTCTCCTCTCAGATATGTGCAATCCTGGTTGACACGGTTAAGACAGCTGAGAGGTTTGAGACACAGGCCATTGGCTGTAACTCCATGTGTTATCGTACAGCACTCAATGGCTAATATTTTACATAGTACAAAGTCATGCATTTTCTTATTAATGGCATACTCTCTACCAGGGAAGTGCCTAATCCATTTCAAAGTCAGTATAGCTAAGTGTTCTTCCAATTATTTTTATCATTTTAAAACATTAATTATTGGTATCATTTTTAAATTTGTTTTCTTTAAATGCATTACTGCTATTTTTTTCTGTTTTTCAATGTTTCCCAGTTTAAGAATTTCATTCCATTTTTTTTCTTAAGGGCTGTTTATTTATATATTTATTTATGTCAGTTTAAAGCAGTGCTTCTCAACCTTGGTGGTCACGGCTCCCTTTATGGGATCAAATGACCCTATCACAGTACTGGCCTAAGACTATTGGAAAGAGCAGATATTTATATTATAATTCATAACAGTAGCAAAAATATAGTTATGAAGTAGCAGTAAAAATAATTTTATAGTGGTGGTGGGTCACCACATCATGAGGAACTATATTAAAAGGTCACAGAAGCTGGGTGGCGGTGGCTCATGCCTTTAATTCCAGCACTCGGGAGGCAGAGCCAGGTGGATCTTTGTGAGTTCGAGGCCAGCCTGGGCTACAGAGTGAGTTCCTGGAAAAGGCACAAAGCTACACAGAGAAACCCTGTCTTGAAAAACCAAAATAAATAAGTAAATAAAATAAAAAATAAAAGGTCACAGCATTAAGAAGTTTGAGAACCACTGGTTTAGATCAATGCCTTCTGTAGCTCAGGCTTGCCTCACACTGTCTAATTGAGGAATGCTTTGAACACCGAATCCTGCCTGTGATGCCCAGTACTGGAAAGACAGTCCTCAACACCTTCTAGGCTAGGCCTTGACTGGTCTGTGGGAAGGAAAAATAGACCAGTGAACTTCAATAGATTTTATTGTGAATTTACAAATGAAGTGGGACCTGTGTAAGAATGAATTCACTGACCAACTGTAAAGCAGGTGTAGTCACAGCACAGAAAGGGTTGGGTTAGAAAGAGGGTGAAAACTTTTCTGCTGTGACAGTAGTTGACATTACAAATGAGTAGTGAGGTAATCAATTTTAGGTGATCAATAAATGTCCTGACTGACCATTTCTTGGGTCCACAGACCAGGCAATCAAGAATCTGGACAAAGAACTGAATTTTCATGAAACCAAAATACTGTGGTTACACCAGTTCAACTTAAATAGAAGCACTGGATAAAATGGTGTAACCCTGCCTAACATGACTGTGTTTTTCAGGTTTAAGATGCATACTCCAAGAGAAATGATGTGAGTAGTATTTGGTGTGCCCTAATACAAATCTCTAGCCTTAGAGCACATGGTCATAACAGAATTATTTGGGATTATAATTACATTATTTCCACTATCTCTTTCCTGCCTCCAACCCCTCCCATAAACCCTTCTTTGTTTTCTACTTTTTTTTTTTTTTTTTTTTTTTTTTGGTTTTTCGAGACAGGGTTTCTCTGTGCAGCTTTGCGCCTTTCCTGGAACTCACTTGGTAGTCCAGGCTGGCCTCGAACTCACAGAGATCCGCCTGGCTCTGCCTCTCGAGTGCTGGGATTAAAGGCGTGCGCCACCACCGCCCGGCCCCTTCTTTGTTTTCTAATCCATGGTCTCTTTTTGTTTAACAACAGTTACTGTTTGGATGCGACCTGTGTTTGGTTGCAGGACCTACCAGTTGTGAAGTAAAGGGTTGGCTACAATGGACATTGAATGTGTAATAGCATGTGCACACACAGAACGCTGAGCCTTAGAAGAGGAACAGGAAATGCTCTGGGAGAATGAAAGATTTTACTTAACAACAAAATTCCCAGATTAGGGTCCTGTCTGATCATAGTGTGGCAGGACAAACCTGGGAGGGTTTTTGCTCTCTGAGTCATTTGATCTCTGCTCACCCAGTAGAGTAACTGCTAATGTCCTGAAGCCCAAGCTGGGTGGTCCTAGCTAATGAGGGGCTCTGGGAAGGCTTAGCAATCAGAATACCAGTAAGGAGGTAGTTTGTAGACTCTTTCCAGGATTCTCCCCTTGGTCTGCTGTAGGGAGCTTTAAGGAAGACCACAAGCCATGCCATGGTGAGTGTGGGGGCCACTGTCCCCAGACCAGGAAAGGCAGGTTGACTAAGCTGTCAGAGCTGCTTGGACTGGGATGGACCATGAGCCAGACTGAGGTTCTGTTGGTCCCTGTGGTGACCCTTGGCCTCTGAACTATGTTGAGTGTGGATTCCCTGGGGAGGGGGAGGCTCTGCCATCCTGGCATGGGAGACTATGACCTTGTAATATCACTTCCTCATGCTATGTAATTGAGGCTTCCTTCATGCTATGTAATTGAGAATTGCTTTGAATACTTAATCCTGCCTCTGCTGCCCAGTGCTGGGTAGATAGTGTCATAAGTCCTTCCAGTCTGGGCCTTGACTGGTCAGTGAGAAGGAAAAATAGACCAGTTAATGAGAGATCTCCAGTTTCTCTGGCTTTTAGTGGGGACTTATAAATGAAGAGGGATCTGTGCAGGAATTGAGTTCATAGGCAAACTTTGAAGCTGGTAGAGTCACACTGCAGAAAAGGAGAAGCAGGACTGTGGTTGAGAGCTTTGCTACTTCATCAGTAGTTGAGATTAGCAAAGTGGAATTAGGTGATCAATTTTAGATGCTCCATAAATGTCCTGAGTAGCCGTTTCTTGGGGTCCACAGACCAGGGCAATCAAGAATTATTATGAAATCTGATTATTATGAAACCAAATTGCTATGGTTACAGTAGTTCAACCAAAATAGTTCTGGGTAAAATGTTGTGGCCCTGCCTAACAACACTGTTATTTTTCTGCTTTTAGAGGTCCACCCTAAGATAAAAGGTTTTGAGATATCTTTAATGTGGGCTAATACAAATCCCAAGTCTCGCTGGGTGGTGGCGGCGGTGGATGCGGTGGCTGCGGCAGCGCATGCCTTTAATCCCAGCACTCAGGAGGCAGAGGCAGGCGGATCTCTGTGAGTTTGAGGCCAGCCTGGACTACAGAGAGAGTTCCAGAAAAGGCACAAAGCTACACAGAGAAACTCTGTCTCAAAACAAAACAAAACAAAAAACAAACAAACAAACAAAAAACCAAATCCCTAGTCTCTGGAGCACATGGCCATAAAGCCTGTTTCAACTCTTCAAAATAATTTTTTGAGATTATAACTCCATCATATCCACATTCTCTTTCCTGTCTCCAAGGCCTGCCATCACCCCTCATTGTTGTCTAATAAGTGGCCTGTTTTTCTTTAATATCAGTCACACGGTAAGTTACTGTGTGAATGTGACCTGTATTTGGCTGCCAGACTCTCAGCTACAAGGCAA